GCCAATCATGTAATTTCCAAACTGGAACTCCCCAAACCTTGCTGTAACCCCTATAAAAACCCCTGCTGATTTGGAGTAGGGGGCTCTCAATCCTGACCTGCTGCGTCGGTGACGGTCGAGAGTCCCTGCTCGAGCTTGAATAAGCGACCCTTGAGTGATTGCATTGGAATCGGCTCCTTGGTGGTCTTCAGGGTCCTCACGATCTGGGCACAACACCTCCTCCAAACAACTTCACTCGATTTTGTTTCCACCACCAGTGGCCGTGAGCTAAGCCTGGTGTTGTTTACCGTGCTGTGCAAAATCACACAAACAGCCTCATGGCATAAATGCTCTGGCTGTGGCCCATTTCGCGGTGTCTGGACTGGCCTCTGCTGCATGAAATCCAGTGTAGAAACAACCTCCAGTCGTTAACCTCCTCTCTGAATGACAGGTATTAAGATTCCCACGGGTGGTGGCTTCCTGCCACGGCCCCGTGAACATTCCGTCTACCCAGGGCAGTTTCATTGGGGCAGCGGCTCACAGAGTTTTACATGCCTGGAATCTGAGGGCAAAAGGGTTCTTCTGTGTGTGGGCTCAGCGTATTGCTGTTTAATGCACTGGAAATGTCAACCAAAAGATGTTAGATATTTCATTAGAAGCTTTTTAAAATAACAGGCCTATTGCATACTAACATAAATAACATGTTTCTCTGGAAAAAATCAGTGTTTTCCAAAAGAAAAAAATTAGCAACAAGAACTGATTTACAGTTTTTGCAAATTCCTTTAATGTCTGGCTTCATGGAAGAAGCTGATTCTCCCTCTCCCTTTGCATCCACACTGTTAGAGTAGGAAATGTCTAACCGTCTCCAGAGAAGTCCACTCAGGTGCCACCAGAGAAGAACTTCTTGGTATGGTTATGCAACCAGCTGGGCCTTACAGACCTTTGGAAACTGTGTATGCGGCAAACAGCTCAGGGTGTGGACCAGAGGTCTGGGTTATCAGATGGGCACCTGCATCCAAGTGGTGCCAGTACCCTCCAGACTTTTAAAGCTCAAAGTAGAATAAACAGTATTTTTTTTTTAACATTTCGGTGGGCTTCATGAGAGGTGCCAGGTAGCTCTAGGTATGTTGTTCACTGGTAGAAAATTATCTGGTGTTTGTGGGCCCTTGGTGTTAGGAGCAATGCTACATAATTCTAGGGAAAAATCATTTGAGTAGGCCTGGTTCTCCTGCCTACAGCCCAGCTATGGCATTCCAGACATAATTGCATTTTGGCCTCGGGTCACAACTGAGACCTCAGTGATCCCGGGATGCTGTCATCTCCAGGACCAGACCACACCTGCGGGAGACGCCAGGGAGGAACCAAATCTTCATCTGCATAGTTCCCCATTGTTCTTAGATTTCCACTGCCCCCAGCCTTTTGTTACACCTTGTTTATCCCACTGTGAAGTACTGAACTCTGCAGTGCACTTGTTACATCTGTTTCCCCAGGTACTGAGTAAAAGGTGCTGCAAGCTAGGGGGGCTTTGTCTTTGCCGCCCAGAGCAGCACTGATCAGACCCAAAGCTCAGCTTCTTCTCAGTCTCATTTGTCTACCTTTCCTGTAATTCGCCATGTGCTGCCGTGGCTCGCAGGAGACTAGGACTCACTGCAGAGGTTCTGGTAACGTCCCCTTCCCCTGTTCCCTACACCCTGGGTTTATTCCCAGTACCCCAGAAAGAAAAGGGGGGCTGGGGATAACCAGTGGTAGAGCACTTGCCTAGCATGCAAGAGGTCCTGAGTTCAGTCCCAAGCACTGGGAGGGAAGGGAGGGAGAGGAGGGGGAGGGGAGGGGGAGATTGCTAGGTCAGTTGACTATCTATAAGGAATCAGATGCTGTCTGACCTCCACCTTGCATCTCCCCAGCTTGATACAGACAGGCTCTGCCTGAGAGCAGGGAGCGCAGGAGATAAAGTGCAAGTGACAGACGACAGAGGGTGACCGCCCTGGCGGGCAGCACAGTGTGCAGGCTGTGCTTTGTGTACAGATGCTGCCCACCTCAGCCCCAGACAATCCCCTCTCCTCCTCCCGGGCTCCTTCCTGACACTGTGCTTCCAACACCCTCTCTTCCCGCCCCGCCGTGGGAGGGCACACATCTGCACACTCGCATGTGCACGCGTGCAGGGAAGCAGCTGCATGCACGCACGTGTGCACACACAATCTGGAGCTCACTCGTATGCACGGGCACTCACACAGGTCCGCCCGCACCGAGACAATCACGTGAACAAGCCAGGTGCCCGTGGGGAAGTCGCTGCCTGGCCGCCCCCAACACCAGGCCACCGGGCCTCGGGCCAAGGCGCGGGGGAAGGGCTGGACCTGAACCTGGGGGAAAGGACCCACTGCTACATCTGACCTGAAGTGTGGGTCCAGCACAACCATGCAGAGAAGGGGGCACTGAGAAGGACAGGAAGCCAACAACGTTTCTCCTTTCAGTCAGAAAGTTTATTTCTTCCTAAGCGACAGCAGGAAGCCGTGAAAGCAGAGGGACTGGAACCCTGGTCCTTGGTGAGGAGGATGCAGTCCCAGCACTCGGATCCAATCAAGGCTGAGGGGCCCGGCAGAGGGGCGCTGGGGACAGGGGTCTCCCCCCGGTTCACTGGCTGAGGAAAGCGCAGGCTTCCAGGAGAGCTGTGAACACAACACAGAAGGATGTTCAGAGACTGACTTGTTTTGTTTTGTTTTGTTGAGACAGGGTCTCACCATGTAGTCCAGGCTGGCCTTGAACTCACTATGTAGCCCAGGTTGGCCTCAAACTCGAAGCAATCCTCCTGCCTCAGCCTCCCAAGTGCTGGGATTATAGGCATGCACCACATGCCCAGCTAGAAATTGAGGTTTTTAAAAGTCCATGTTTGGACCACGGATTTAGCTCAGTGGTGCTGCCACCTGCCTCGCAAGTGCAAGGTCCCAAGTTCCATGGCCAGTACCAAAAAAAAAGTCCATGTTTTACATTAGTAAATCCAAGCAGGCACTTCAATTCGCACTGTGAGTCAGTGCTGCCTTGCCCATGCGGTCCCCACTCCCTCTTCTCCTAGCCTGCGGTGCCCCAAGAACACAGCACCTCTGTTCCCCGCCAAGCCGGGCTCCCCTGCACTGGCCAGAGGGACAGAACCACCCACGCCCATCTCTGGGAGATGCAGCTGTCACATTCTCCCTCCGTCCGTGGACGTCGCTGTCCCAACCTCCCGAATGTGCGGCTCCTGGGTCCATTCGCTCTTGGCAAATGCTGCTAAGCACCTGCTGTGTGACTCACCGTGCTGCGGGCTGGGGGCAGCGGGACCCACACCCCGCCCTCCAGGGCCCAGCCCACACTCGTGCCCCCCAGGATCACCCCACCACTGCAGTTCTCTGTGTGAGCCTCCCCTGCGTGCCAGTGACCTGGGAGCTGGCTGTCACCTTGGCGCCCTGGACATTTGGAGCCTGATCGTAATTCTTTTGGGGGTCCAGGGGACGACTGTCCCATGCATTCCTTAGAAAGCATCCTGGCCTCCACCCTGACAACAGCAGGGCCTCAGGCAGATCATCCTGAGCCGAGAACAGGGAGAAAGGGAAGCCTGGGCCTGGGCACAGTGTCCCCAGGGCCTCTGCTGCCCTGGGTGAGGGATGGGAGCGGGAATCTGGGTGACCACAGAGCTGGGGGCTCGGCGCATGCTCACAGTTGAGAATCGCCCCCGGCAGCCTGGCAACGCTCAGGGAAGACTCCTAATATTTTAAAGGGTTGAATTATTATCCATGCCTTTCCCTAGCCTTTTGAGAATCGGCTTTCCTGCAGTGCCTTCGCCCCCGGTGGCTTCTCAGTGATGCCCCCAGGTCCGCGTACCGGAGGTGGAGCAGCGCTTCACATTGGCGGTAGCTGTGACGTACTCCCGTCCCAGGTACGTCTCGTAGTTGGTTCTGCCCTGCAGTCTGGCCAGGCACTCGGTGTTGTCATTGAACAGAAGGTTTTTGGTTTCAGACTGGAACAGGCAAAACTCTCCTGGGCACCTGGATCCGTTTCTTCCGAACCGAGCCTGGGTGAAAGCCAGAGGGTCAGCGAGTGGCCCAGGAGGACAGGCGCGTGTGTGGACAGGGAGCCCAAGGGCACTTCCTCATCCTGCCAGCCCCGGGGACACTGAGCTCCTTCTCACTCTGCGGCCTCATCCCATAGAAACTCACAGCTGAGGGTTTCCAAGGTCTGCTCCGAAGAATGGATCCCCAGGGCACCCTAAGCGCCTGCCCTCAGGGAGGCCATCTGCACAGGAAGCCTAGTCCTCCCACCTTCCAGGAGGTGACCAGCCAGGCCCTGCCCTCCAGAGCCACTGTCCCTTCACCCCCTGGGCCACTGCGACACCTGGGGGCCTGATGCAGTCAGAGCAACCGAGGTGCTAGTGCAGAATCCTGGATTTTCAGGGGAGCTTAGGATTCCTCCAAGTCACAAGGACACAGCCCCAAATCTAGGAGGGGAGCACTGGGTCCGTTCTTTGAGTGGTTTTGTGCAGAACATGGTTAGCCGGCCCAGAAAACTTCAAACAGTAAACAAGTCCCCAAGGAGGACTGTGGGAGGGAGGCGCCCCGTTTGCCTAAAGCCGCAGGACAGAGAGGACAGAGAGAGGGCAGGTCTCAGAGCAGAGGCTACGTCAGCCCAAAAAGGTCGCAGTGGTCCCACAGCAGGCGGTGGCTCCAGCCCCTCGATGGCTCCGTCAGGAGTCTCTGCAGCCCCAGGTCCGTACCTGTTGGTCCAGCAGCACCTGTTCCAGGAGTTTCGCCTTCTCTCTGCGAGACACCACAGCGTGGTTTGGGGCCATGGCCAGGTGGCAGCTTCGAGCCTCTGTCACAGGCTTCTGGGTGCCATCGAGGCAGAGCAGCTGGAAGTCCGCCAGCTTCAGGTCCCTGGCCCAGGATTCGGGGCTCTTTCCTGGCGAGAGAAAGAGGGAGGCACCAGCTGCAGCCGCCCTGCTCTGCGGAGGGGACTTTTCGGGTGGACTTGTCATTCAGCAAGAAAAGGGGTGCAGTCACACATGGACAGACTTCAGAAACACAAGGCCTCGAGATGAAAGCTGGGCATAAAAGACCACAAATTCCAGCAGTCCCAGTGCTCAAGGAGTGGAGTGGCGGAGTGACTGCTGATGGGGCGCTTTCTGGGGCTACTCAGGGGTTCCAGGGATCTGTTGGTGGTCACACAACTCTGCATTTGCTGGAGACCACTGAATCATACACCTCGATTAGATGGATCGGGAGGGTTTTATAGCATGTAAATTGTATCTCAAAAAGCTGTTAAAAGTTCTTTTTAGGTTCTTCATTTTTTGAAACAGGGTCTCGCTATGCAGTTCATGCTGGCCTTGAACTCGATGTGTAGCCCAGGCTGGCCTCAAATTTAACAAACATCCTCCTGCCTCAGCCTCCTGGGTGCTGGGATTACAGGTGTGCACCACCACACCCAGCAAAGTTTTTGGATTTTTTTTTTTAAAAGAAAATCTTTTGTCTATGCCATATTTCTAATGAGTTCCAGAAAAAGAAAACAGGTTGAGTATCCTTTACCCAAAATGCTGGAACCAGAAGTGCTTTGGATATTGGATTTTTTTTTTTCAGGTTTCTGGATATTTGCATATGCATTATAGACTGGGGAGAGGACCCAACTTGAAACCTGAAATTCACCGATGTCTCCTGTGCACATTACATCCATAGCCTGCAGCTAATTTTATGTGGTATTTTTAGTACTGGGACTAAAGACACTAGGACTCCGCCTCATCGTGTGGCGGGATGGGGTTTCCCACGACATTGCGTCATTCTGGAACATTTCCAATTCCAGGTTTTCAAATCCGGTATCTCCTTTCATTGTCAGATGCTCTTACTATAACCAGAGAAAGGATAAGGACTTCCACGGGTTAGCAAATATGCTTAGTCAGTTCTGATCCAATACCCGTGTAAAGTTCCAGAGGAACTGAAAACTAAACTGGATGCCCATCTGACCCTTGGAGCCCACGTCCACCGCCTGCGGTCAGTTCTGAGTGTGAACATGCAGGCTCGACTGTGTGCCAATCCAGGTCCCTGTCCGGGCCTCCCAGTCTCTCCCTCCACATCCTCTCTAAGAAACCATGGCGCCTTCCTCTTTGTTCCTCTGTGTGATGCTGAGATCCTTCCAGACCCATAGGTCTGGCCCTCATCCCTCTCCAGAGCCACAAGGTGACCCAAGGGGGAGGGGGAGGGGAGAGAATGGGGAGGGGAGGGGCAGAGGGCTCACAGGGGGCTTCAGGAAGCCCTTTACTTCCCTCTTTCAAAAGGGAAATTCTGTTTGCATCATTCGATTTTTTCGTATTGTCCATTCTGTTTCCTAGAGGCACATGTGATCTGGTGCAAGCAAATGACAGACTTCTGCACATGACTAGACAAAGCCATGGTGTGTGTGTGTGTGTGTGTGTGTGTGTGTGTGTGTGTGTGAGAGAGAGAGAGAGAGAGAGAGAGAGAGAGAGAGAGAGAGAGAGAATTCAGCTTCAAAAACCACTGTGGCAGCTACAGGTGTTACCATGCTGCCTCCCAAGGTTAAGATTCTGGACTTCAATCAAAAGTCTGTGAACAGCTAGGTCTCCTGCAAGTGCCCATCTGAAGACAGGGATGTGCTGTGAAGCTAAACAAAGGCTCTGCTTTGAAAGCGCAAGGGAAGCACTTCACCTACCATCGGTGTTCTGCAGGACGGTGGAGTCTTTCAGGAATGCAACGTCTCCGGCCCTCTCAGCCAGGCACCTAAAATATTTCAGAAAATAAACACATCACAAGAGAAAAGAGTCTATTAGAGCTGTCACAGATATTTGTAAATACATTCCAAAAACTGAAACACGGAAGTAAACATGTAAAAGATGAAAACATTTCCAGGAAATATTTAGTTTTAAATGGCAGACTGAACACATCTGTGCCCTCCTCCTCCTAAAACACCAGAGGCGGCCTGCCAAGACCTCTCTCCCCAGGGAGTGGACAGTAAGTTTTTCCTTAGGGAATCTGATCACCCAAGAAAAAACCCACAGATTCTAAAATTTTGGTGCCCACAATAAAATAACACCAAGAAGCAGGCCTACAGTGAGGCCCAGTACTACCAACATCCGGCAACTGGAACCGTGCCAGTGATCAGCCCAGTGTCTCTGACTTTTTATTTTAAATCAATCTAATACTTTACTCTTAAATATGGACAAATAGCCAGAGACCATTTGATATTGAAGAAAGATCATAAAAAGTGGAGCTGAAATCATTCTAATTCAGGATATAGAGACAATATAGGGTAGAGAATAAAGCTAAGAAAAAAGCTATAATTAATATCATTAAAATGTGAGGCAGGGATGTAGCTCAGTGGCGCTATGCCTGTCTGGCAAGCGAAAGGTCCTGAATTCGATCCCCAGTACCAGAAAAAAAATATATATATCCTTATAAATATTAATATATCCTTATTTTAAAAATCCTTATAAAACATGAAAGAAGCACCATTCACAAAACAAGAAAGCTCTAAAAAGGAATAGTTGAGATACAGAAGAGTTCTTAGGAAGCAAAAAAAAAAATCTTTACAATTCTTTAAAAATGATAAAAGCTGAGCAAATAACCCAGAAATTAGAATATGAGGAACAGATAATAAAAAGTAAATAAGAAAGCCAGATGATAATGCAAGAGAGTCCATAATTTAAAAATAAAAACTTAAGGTGAAATCAGAGAAATAGAAGAACGGAAATTGTCAGAGAAATAATAAAGTTTCCCAGAACTAAATAACCTAAGTTTTCAAATGAAATGGCTTATCAAGTGCCCAGTCCAATAAATTAGAAGAAGTCACACATAAATAAATATCATTATGAAGTTTCTGAACACTGGAGTTTTTTTTAAAAGCTCAAAAAGTTTTCAAGAAAAAGAAAACAATGCAGTATACAAAGGATCATCAATCAAGATGGTAACATATTTCTCAACAGCAATTCTAGGAAGTAGAAGACAATGGATTAGTCATTTTAAATTTTGAATTTACTATATTCTATCTTTCACTTTCCTATGACACATTCTGGATAATTTTCATTTCACTAATTCTTCCAGTTACATGTAGTTGGTTAAACCGGTCAGTTCCATAGTAAATTTCAATTGCTATTTTATTCCTTTCTAGAAAGTCTATTTATTCATTTTTTAAATACTAGTTGGTTTTTTTCTGTTGGCTGTTTGCACTTGTCACCCTTTTCTGATTACGTTGTGCTGCTGTGTTGCTCTTTGACACTGACAGTGTATTTTCAGCAGTCTTTGAAGACCAAGCTGAAGCTCTTTGTCCCAGAGAAGTTCCTAGAGACACCATTAACCTGGGACCACTTTAAAAAATATTTATAACTTGAGGATTTCGGGACCATCCCAGGGGACATGAGTCTGAATCACAAATCCATTCAGGGATTGGTCATGATTTAAATTTCACAGAAGTAGAGTGCTTTGCCATCTTCCTCAACTTCAGGCCAACTTCAGCTCCACCAAGAGTGGCCACAGAAGTTACTCTGGTGCACTCTGTAAGGGTAAGGTAGCCTGTGAGGGTCAAGATTGTTGGAGCAAGTACACACCTCAAGAGAAAGCAGCACCATGCTGCTCTTGGAATCCTCATTCCCCTTGGATTTTGCCCTAATAATTCCTTATCATTTTACCTTTTCCTCCACGTTTTCAAGGACATGTGTATGAAGGCATGCGGGGCATGGCCTCCGGTGTTAATGCTTGTTTTGAGTGGAAAGTTTAGTCAGATTAAATACTGCCATTTTCTAGATATAGAAATCTTATCAAAATTCCTAGGGAAAAAGTTTTTCAACCTAGATCTCATCATTCAGACCAACTATGAATCAATGCAAAAGTAAAGATGTCTGAAGACATGTAAATAAATATTTCAAAAACCAGCAACACACTTCACTCTTTCTCAAGAAGCTGCAGGAGGCTGTGCTCTGTTGCAACAAAACCAAGAAAGCTAAAGAAATGAAATCTAGGAAACAGGCTGCCTAAAGCGAAGCAAGAGAAATGGACAGCTTAAAGTGACAGCCTCAGGGTGTCCCAGGGCCACAGATGTGAGGGTGGCCCGGGAGGGAGCTCTGGATCCAGGCTGCGGCTGGAGGACAGTGGTCTCCGGAGCAGCATTCCCAAGCAAGACGGCAGCCCGTGTCTGTGCAGTCTGCGTGGTTGGGAGACGCATGCTACAGGCAGGGGGCTTCAAATGCGTGAATTTTAAAAAGCATAGAAAATTAAGCAAATTTTAAAAATAAGACATCTGGGATCTCAGATCATCCAGTCTAGATTCTGGATATAATTAGAACAAAAGACAAAGCAGAGTCTTCTGGTGTAAACAGAAATGCTGCCTTGCAGAGAGTCCCGGGAAAGGGGTGCCTCCCCAATGTCTGGGGCAGTTTGGGGGTCACGATGTCTCCTCGAGTCTAGCCACCATTCTGAGTGGGATCACATCACGACTCTTCTATTCCCAAATCCTTAGTTCCTCAAAGATATTTTTGTACATTCAAAGCACATTTTTGTTTGTCTGATTTTTATGACTCACTCAAAATATAACAAAAACAACTTCTATAGCGTCGGGCCACCAAAGTTTACATGACAAAGCTCAAAGGCCACAGTTTGAGCACGCGCGGTCGTTCTCAGATCCATGGCTCCACCTGCTGGCAAAATGAGCTCTTGGAAACGGGGAGGAGCCTGATGATCCCTCTGCACCCCTAAACAGCGCCACCACTAATGAAATAAATGTAGGCTGTGGGTGCTGTGAATCATGCCCTGGATGTAATTTATGAACTCTGAAAACTTTTTTTTTTTTTTTTGGCAGAACTGGAGATCAAACTCAGGAGCACTCAACCACAGAGCTACGTCCCCAGACCTTTAAAAAAATTTTTTTTTAATTTTGAGACATAGTCTAGCTAAGTTCCCAGGCTGACTTCAAACTAGCAATCCTCCTGCCTCAGCCTCCTGAGAGGCTGGGATGAACACATTTGGGCGAGGCGGGGGTGCCCTCCAGGAGCTGCCTCTGGGTGGCTGTGACAGGCCACCCCTTGCGCCCGCCCGAGACTCACCACGTGGAGGCCCGGGACTCACCGGAAGGCCCCCGTGTAGCCGTAGTAGCGCTCCTGGCTGTTGGCCACGCACTTGTTCTCACCCCGGTCGTTGCCCACACACAGTGCGCACAGGGGGGACGCGGGGTCCGCACCTGGGGCGCAGCTCTGGCTGAAGAATTCACCTGCAGGAAGGAGCCAGCAGTCAGTGGCCACCTGAGTCCTCCTCTGAGCAGGTGACCCGGCCGGGGCTACAGAACACACCGGCCCATCCCACTGGAGTCAGCACCACGTCACGGACTGCAGGCCTGGGAGCCTCCTCTGCTCTTCATCCTGCACAGGAGGCAGAAGCAGGCTGCTCCTCCGGCTCTAACAGGGGCTGGACCTCACTTCCCCGGGAGAGGCCGAAGCCTGTGTCCTGGCCCAGCCACTCTTTGGAGGGGCCGAGGGGGGCTCTGTCTCCTGCTGCTGAACTGAGCAGGATGTAACCCCTCATGTGACTCAACCCAGGGAAACGGAGGCAGAGGTGATGAAAAAGTTCTGAGCACGGACCACCTTTTGTCAGACCTGCAGCCCCTGGGGGCAGCTCAGAGCCAGCACAGAGATGACAAGAGTAGCAAGCATGGTCTGCTGTGCTGGGGACTGGCGTGTGCCCCGGCCAGGACCAGCCCCAGTGACAGTGCAGCGGGGTCCCCACTCCGGGAGAGCCACAGCGAGGGCACCAGGTACCCACATCGCCAGGCCACCAAGGGAGGGTGTGGCCAGCACTAGCCAGGGTGAGCAGGGTGTGGGGGGACCCAGGGCACAGGGGTCTGCGGAGGGCAGACTGGGTGAGCAGTGGGTTCTGTTTAGAAACAGAACTCCCTGCATGGGGCAGGCTGGTGGGAAGTGGAGGCCTACGAGGAATTTGGATCTGGGGCTGCAAGAGGTAAGAAATACTGGATTTCTCAGAACTGCACCCATTCTTTCGAAACAGAGAAGTAGGCTGATACTCCAATTGTCTGTGTGCGTGTGTTTGTGTGTGTGTGTGTGTGTGTGTGTGAGCACTGAACCCAGGGGTTCATACACGCTAGGAAAACATTCCGGGGCTATCTACATACCCAGCCCTTTTTGTTAGAGACAGATTCTTGCTAAATTCCTTAGGCTGGCCTGAACTTGCAATCCTCCTGCCTCAGCCTCCTGAGCAGCTGGGATCATAGACATGCACCACCTTACCCGACTTGATGCCCCTGCCTTTCACCTCCATAGGGGGGGACTTGGAAACTGTCAGGCAGGAAGCCTCCTTGGGCATCCCGGCTTACAGGGAGTAGTCCCAGGGAGGACTTTCTTCTACCCAAAGACACCTGTGGGCCCAAGCTGCAAGTCCCCCCAGCCCCTCCCCAGGAGGCTTCCGCCACCCCGGGACTCCACACCGAATCTGCAGGAGCCAGTCTGGTTGAAGAGCAGGCCCATGGGGATGATCCAGCCCGCGGTCCTGTCCACAGCTGTGTGGCAGGACTTCCTGCCTCTCAGAGAGTTCCAGGTGAGGCCAGAGTCCGATGTCCGAACCGCTGCCACTGCAAGGTACCCTGCACACGGACGACAGAGCAACCTTAACCCCAGGATGCCTGGCATGCGGATTCCAGTGCAGTGTCCACAAGCCAGGCCACAGCCAGACGCATCGGCAGGGGGCGGTTCCTCAGATCCCTGGCTGGCCGTTGCTAGGCAGACCCACAAGTGCCGGCTGTGCCCTGCATCCAGGGGAGATCGGGCTGGGCTGTGAAATAAAGCAATCAGAAAAGCTGGGCTGTTGGTGATTGCAGCAGGTCTGTCCTCAAGCAGCCACACGATGCCTCCAAGTTAACAGGAGAGCCACGAAAGGAGCAAACCCTGAACAAGTGTCCCCTGCAGTGTGTACCAGGCAGGAGCAGTGGGCCTCCACTGCATGGATGCAGGGTCCCTGAGCAGTGAAGGGTCAACGTGGTGCATTGGCTCTCAGTGGCCGCACTGGGGCAGAGGGCCGGATTCCCCACAGAGACCCAGGTGCACAGCAGGATCCGCCGTGGCTCTGTGCAGTCTGCTTCCTCTCTGCCCCTTCGAAGCTCACTGTGAACTGGAGCCCAATCCACTCCCTAGGGATGAGCCGCTGCCTTCAGGACTTCCAGGACCAGGTCTGCCTCTGTCGTTTGTTTTGAGTCTTTACCACCTCGTCCTCCAGCAACTCGAACTTATTCTCCCCCCGGAAAGTGCCCAGCCTCAACTCACCTTCCGGTGGTCTGTTCACGCAGTCAGAGCCTGGGTTTGCTTGGGATTCTGAAAGAAGAAGACAAGCAAGCCATTGTAAAACACTGATTTACCGCGAAGTCACACACTGTGAAAGATGCACAGCACAGAGTGGCTTCCAGAGAGGGCTGCAGCTGTGCCATACGCAGAAGTGAACGCACACTGTCACCAGGAGACAAGCAAAGATGAGCCCGAGCCGCGGTGGCCGCCAGCTGGCAAGTCCTCACCCGCAGGGACCCGGATGGGCAACTCTGGCAGAGCTACACCCGGGCCTGCACAGCTGCACGCAGACACGGGTGGACACCGCAGGCAGCACGCCGGGCACGAGGCATCGGGCACTGACCATGTGCCTTGCCACTGCTGCCTGGAGTTCAAACACAGCCAGAACAGGCTGCGTGCACTGCTGGAAGTCAGGAGAGCCTCGGACTTGTCGGGAGGAACAGAGGGAATTTTTGTGATTTGGAAATAACTTTGTCAACAGTGAAGAATCTGCCTCACTCCAAAGAACTTAAAATTTGGACTTGCGAGTGAATGGTTGGAAGATAAACTCTTGACAACCTCACCTGGGTGATTAAATCTGTAAAAGCTTAAAGATTAAAACGTAAAAGCAAGCCCAGGACTTGGGGGGGGGGGCGGTGAGAGGAGAAAGGAACAGAGCCGAGGGGAAGGGAGAGGGAAGCGGGGAGGAAGGGAGCCTCTGCGCTTTGCTTTGCCCAGTCTCAGCACAAGCTTCTTAGGCAGCAGGGCCCCTTTGCGGCTTGCTCCCCCACGTCCCCCCAGGGCGTCCAGGCTGCTCCCCCGGGTCCAGCGCGTGGCCGGCTCCGCCCAGGCCCCGAGAGCTCTCTCCCTCCACTTACTCTGGTTCTCTGCCAGGACGGGCACCAGGCCGCACCTGCCCGCCGTGTAGATGAACCCTCCGTCCAGACTCATGGCGTCCGCCTCGCCTTTCTGTGGAGACAGGGGCTGCTTCCTGTCCTGCCGTCTTCGCAGCCCCAGGAGTGGCTTCTCTCCCCAGCCCCCTGCAGATCCCCATGTTGGAGCTGAGCCCTCGAGGGGATCAATACCTCGTGCCCACTGACTCGCTGCCAGCCCGCTCGGCTGGGTACTGCCAACTCAGAAGAGCCGGGCCCTCACTGCAGTCACCCTGCGTCCTCTGAGCAAGTCCCCTTCTGCTCTGGGGACGCGGGGAGGGGATCTACACCCCAACCGCCAGCCTCAAAGGGCCGGGCCGCGGGCACCACTCGGGCTCACGGGCAGCAAGCGCATCCCCGCCCCACGGGCACACGCGGGCCACTAGTGGGGCTCAGCGCGCTCAGCAATGCTGGACACGACTTCTAAACAGGAGTCTATCTCGGGGTTGGGATAATGGCAACGTGATCGTGACTAATCGGAGCTGGTCCACATAAAAGAGGTTCTGAAATCTCTGACGGAAAAACATTACTGAAGAACAAGTATTCACGCGGGAAACGCCCACGACACGCTTCCTGTCTGGTGAAAACATTCGGAAACTGCACTAACCGACCCAGTCCTGGAACCCCGCGTGCACCCCTGCACGCACGGCACACCCCGGAGCTCAGAATCGGCAGAACCGCAGTCAGAGCCGGGAGTGGCCACACACCCCGGGAACCCCAGTGCTCTGGGAGGCTGAGGGAGGAGGATCACAGTCCGACCCCAGCCCGGGGAATCGACCCTAACCCTAAAAGATAAATAAAATTGAATTTTAAAAAAGGGCTGGGGAACGTAACTCAGTGTGAAGGCCCTGGGTTCAAGTCCTAGCACTGAAAATGAAAAAAAAAAAAAAAACCCTTTAATCGTAGCTTTCTCTGTGTAAGACCACAAGTGGTTTTTTGGTGTGTGTGGGCGTGCGGGTGTGTGTGCACGTCCCACGTTCCAGATTACACACAATAACCCTGAGTTGTGCTTCAGGTGAAAGAGGTGAGAACTTCACAATAAGCTGCTTTTTCAACCTAAAACCGCACGCCCTGGGCAAGGTGCCAGCGCCCTGGGGGCCCGCTCGGTCCTCCACCGGGTCCTCCTCCGCCCCGCCCACCACGACCCGACCCGCCTCTGCCCCGCCCCTCCCCGCCCACCATGACCCGCGGGATGCAGTCCTCTGGGGTGCGCGCCGAGGTGCAGGTCACTCTGCCGCCGCTCACGCTGCTCCAGCGGTCACACTTGCGCTTCTCCTCGGGGCCGACCGCGCACCACACGACCCGCGCGCGCCTGGCGGCCACATCCGCCTCCGCTGCAGAGAGGGTCACAGTGGTGGGCACCGCCGCCTGCCAGTCCCTCCTCTCAGTCCACTTCTCAGCTCCTCACCCTGCTCGGCCCAGGGGCTGCCTCGGTTTCTCCTCCCCTCCTTTCCACAGCTTCCCTGGCTTCTAACCCATCCCCATCCCTGAGCCCTCAGAGCCCAGTGTCCTCCCCGAGCGGTGGCCGAGGAGACCTCTCCGGGCCCACGGTCACCAGCGTGGACACAGTGGCCTCTGGTCACCTGCTCCCGGCTCACCCCCCAGCCCAGGGGAAGATCGTGGCCCAGCTGGTCCCCTGTGGCCTCTGACCCTGGCCAAGCTCAGGAGCTGACTCTCCAGGCCCAGCGTCCTCCCTGCTGCTGCTCCTATTTCTCACTTAATAGGAGGCCGGCTGGTTTTCCTGCCAGCCCTGGCGATCCTGACCACACAGGACCACAGGGGAGCCTGAGTCTGGAGGCCAGCATGGTGTGGGGACCCCTCTCCTGATCCCCGACCCGGTCAACAGCAGACGCTCACACCTGCATCCGGGAGGACAGTGACCATCCCGGGCAGGGCCCCCCAGAGACAGCTCCCCACACTCACTTTCCTCCATGTTCCGGATGGAGGAGAGGTAGCCGAAGCCCAGGTACAGCCCGGTGTCTATCTTCTTGGGGACCCTCACGAAGCCCAGCGAGGAGTCCTTGAACAGCAGGTCCTTCTTCCCACGGGGTGAGCCAAAGAGCTGGAATGCCGATGACTTGTTTCTTCCAAACTTTTCCTAATGAAGGAAAAATAGAACTGTGGAGTTAGCAGTCAGTAGGGAGGAAACCAAGCCCCAGTGTTGAAAATGAGTCTCTGGAATTTTGGGGTAATTCTGAGGGCAGGGACCTAGGTCATCGCAGAGGCAGGAGCTCAGCTTGGCCCAGTCTCTGGGAAGTGGCTGGGGCTCAGAGCCTTTGAGTCCTGGGAATGCTGTGTGGTAAACACACACACACACACACACACACACACACACACTTCTGCTGCAGCCATGAGCTGCCGGGGGTCGGCAGTGCTAGAGGAGTCCGGCCTTCCTGCCATCTGTGCTGGAGTCCCCTGAGCCCAAAGGGGCTTCTAGAGTGTCCCAAGTCAGGAGTGGAGATTTGCACCCCACCCCCAATGCTGAGCAGGTGGGGAGCAGCACAGGTGGGGCTACCTGCGCCTGGTGGAGAAACTCCCAGATCAAGTCCTCCTTGCCATTCACACTGCGGGCCACGACAGCGTGAGAAGGGACGCGGGCCAGGTGACACTGCTTATACTCGTCCACCGGCCTCCAGGTGTTGTCCGGGCAGAGCAGCTTGTACTGGTCCCGCTGGGCCTTGTCCGGCAGGTCCTCTGCAGGAGGGAGAGGCCCAAGTGAGCCAGAGCTTCGCTCCTCTCAGAGAATTCAGAGCTGGAGGAGACATCTTGCCCGGCTGACAGAAGTGAGAGCCAGGAATGCAGTGTGGCAGATTAGATCTAGAATATCCCCAAAGCCTCCTGTGTTTGGAGGCGGGGCTGTCAGAAGGTGACTGGATCAGGCACTATACTCATCAGTGGATTCAGCCATGGATGTGGCCATGGCTGACTCTGCTGTTAGGAGGCAGGGCCGGGTTAGAAGCGGGTCACTGGGGTGTGACGGGAAGAGCGTATCTCCCCGCCAGCTCTTCTCTCCATTCTCTGCTTCCTGGCTACCATGAGGTGAGCAGCTGTCCTCCTCCCAGGCCCTTCCACCAGCCATTTCTGCCTTGGAGCCAGCGACCATGGACTAAACCCTCTAGAAACTGTAAGCCAAATTAAACCTCTCCTCCTTTAAATTGTGGGTGTCAAGTATTCTGTCTCGGCAACCAAAGTGGATACAGGTGGAGAATCAGGCTGAGGGTGTGGCTCAGTGGTACAGCACTTGCCTGGCATGTGTGGGACCCTAGATTCCATCTACTGCATGGAAGGAAGGGAGGGAGGGAGGGAAGGAGGGAAATTCTGAGAAGAAAGGCAGTGAATGACTCCAGAACACTCAGAAAGTTAAAGAGAGCCCCAGAAAGAGCCAGGGGTTGGCAGAGCTTCAAGCCTGTGACTGAACACACCCTGCAGCCCTGCTGGAAAGGGTCACCTCACAGAGCTGCCTCCCCCCCCACATCTGAAGGAACAGTAAGAAGGACCAAAAGATTAAGGCAAAAAATACCCTTGAAAAATTAAAAAAGGAAAATACCCTTGAGACACTTCCACACTGGGCTCAGAAAAACTGAAAATAAATAGCAAAGTGGGGCTAGGAACTCCCTCTATTACAGAAAGCTTCCACATACCAGGGTATAAAAACAGGAAGACACAAACACCAGCAAAACGAAACACCCCAGAAGCTGGCCACATGGATAAGTACAGACCTGGCAAAGGACTGACTCCATGTAGCATGAGCACACAGGTGGAGCTCTTGTTGTTAGCACAGGGAAAGGGTCCATAAAGGGAGGAAAAGGCTAAGGCAAATCCATGCCTGATTTCCCAGCTGGTATACACGGAGGCAGTTGTGAGAGGGAGGAATCATTCATCTTATTCACTGAAACTTTCATGATTTGGGGGTGAAATGAGCATCTTTAAAAGACCCCAAAACCACAAATCAGCAGGGCAAAACTGATGGCTTTTAGCTCATGGGTTTCAAAGACCTTTGTACTACTGACAGACACCCTGAAGTCTAAATAGACAGAGACAGTCCTGAACTTGAAACCCTGGAGGACAAGTCAGAGTCTATAAAACAAGAACAAGAAACCCAAACTGCAGGAGATATATGGAGAGAGTCGACTCACAGGTGTCAGAAGTGCAAATTAAACCAACCATGAGATTGTTCTATAGCCATCGTCATTCAGACAAACACAATGAATGTCAAAAAACAAAGTTGTGCAAAAGCAAGAACATCAGCAGAGACGAACATGAGCAGAATTGAAATCTTGAGAGCAGTGTCCCTCCCGGGGCCCTGGATGACTGCTCAGGTGCCCCAGGGAGTTCCACAGCCTGTCTGCACCTAGCAGTAGGGCCTCACGGTGGGACAGGCAGAGGAGGAGGGCTCTGTGTGAGGCCAGGAGAGAACACACCTGGTGTCCATCGCTGGGCTGGCCCCTGGCAAGTCCTACGAGCCCACGACACGCAGACCCGTGTCCAAACCAAATGCTGAGCGGAGCCCCTTGGGGACCCCATGGTTTCTAACACTCAGGAAATGTGTGAACGTAGAACCAGGGCCACAGGCAGCCCCTCCACGTCACAGTACGACACAGCCCGGAGGAGACAGTGTGGGCACCTGGGCTCGCGTCCCTCTGCAGGGAAAAGCAGGCGTCGGTGGGCGATGTCAGACACCAGTGACGGAGCCACGCCGAGTGCGCTCATGAGAAAACAGAACGACAAGGGAACCCGACGGAAGGTGTGGGACCCGAGGCTCCGAGCCAGCTCTTACCGAACACTGTACTCGCCTTGATGAAAGCCACGTCTCCAGCCCCCTCTCTCAGACACCTGCCAAGCAAGACACCCCAAAGGTGAGTGGCCTGGGCCCTGTGCTGCCCGCTCCCTGAGGTGGAGATCGGGCCCTTCCAGGTGGGGCTCAGGTGCTGACAGGGCCTGACCATGGCTCTCGGGCGGAAGGGAGGTCACTTTTTTGTCTGTGTAAGAGAGAGCTGCACGGAGGGGAAAGGCTTGGTATCCCTGGCCGTGTGGCTCTTTCCTGGGCCTGAGTTGCCAGCTTCCCCGAGTGGGAGGACAGGCAGATAGGCATCTCTGCACACTGCAGAGCCCAGGGCTCGGGGAATGTGGTGGACAGGCAAATTGGGCAGGGCTCCTTCTGCCCTTGGGGAAGAGGTAGGGACATGAGCCCGGACGCAGCGCTCTCCTGCCCAGCTGGCTCCACATGACAAGACTCCTTCGGCCCCAGGGTGCCCAGGGGAGGGGCTGGAGTCAGCAGAACCCAGGACACTGGGTCCCCTTCGGTCCCTGCAACGGCTGAGTCACCTGGGCCCTAGCAGAGGCCCCCTGGGGTGAGGCATGTGACCCACAGTGGGGACCAAGACAGCGTCACTCACTTGAAGGCTCCAGAGTAGCCGAAGTACGGCTCCTGCGTGGAGAAGGCACATTTATTTGTCCCTGTCCCTGCACACAGGCGACACAAGTTGGGAAACCGAGCTCCATCCGCACCAGGAACGCAGCTGGCCAAGAAGAATCTGGCCACAGCTGTGGAGCAGAGAGGGGGCTGCAGAGTGGGAGGCAACCCTGCCGCAGTGTCACCCCTGCAGTGACCCTGGGGACACAGCCGCTTCCCGCACCCTGCCCGGCACCCTCTGGCCTGGGCTGGGAGCTTGGGGACAGACACCTTAGCTGAGCGGCTCTGGTCACCTCCCCAGGGACACCTGCCTCCTTGCTGGCCCTCCCTACCTTGGAGTCACCGCAGGCACCCATGGGACCCCAAAGTGGCCCCGCCCACAGTTGTAGTAGACACCCTGCCGCGCTCTCCCAGGGTCCCCTCTGCCGTCTTACCTGCCTCTATGGGCTCGGGGGGTCCCGTCCAGTTCAAGAACGGACGGAGCAGCCCTATGGGGACCCTCCACCCAGCAGTCCGGCGGATGCCGGTGTGGCAGGACCGCAGGCCCCGCAGCTGGTCCAGCCGGAAGCTGCTGCTCCTCTTGGCCACAACCACAGCATAGTAGTGTGTCCGGGGCTCTGCGAGGGGCAGGGAGACCTGAAAGTCAGCCTGGGCAAAAGAAGGAGCACAACCCACCCCCGAGCCAGCCCCTGTAAGAGGGGCCCTTGCGTCCTCTCCTCCCAGGCCAGCACCTCTGCTCCCTGCAGCACGGTGTGCACCCCAATCCCGGGAGCCTAGGCCATGCCTTCAGCCACCAGCACTCACGTGCTTCTGTGCCATACACTTCAGCCGCCACGGGGCGCAGGTTGTAGGGGGCCTGCCCCGCTTCGTACAGCTGCCCGCCATCCAGGGTCATGGCATCAGCCTTGCTATCCTGGAGGATGAGGGGTCCGTCAGCTGCAGGGAGACCTCCTGAGCCCAGCGAGTGGGTGTCGGGGCTCCAAGAGGCTGCACAGCCGGAAGGAGCTCCAAAGGGGCCTGCAGGCCTCGAGGCCACATGTCACAGGGTCCTGCCCAAGGGCTTTAACTCCAGAGACCGGCACCGGCCCCTGGCCACACCAGCTGTTTGTGTTTGAAGTTGTTCTGGGTGCATCTCCCCTAGCCTTGCTTCGTGCTGGCTGAAGTTCTTTTTACTCAACAGAAAGTACAGCGATTCAGATGTCTTGACATGACCGTAATACAGCAGAGGGACAAGGGCCAGCTCGGCTCCACGGCACTCCATCCATTTCCTGGCACCCCCGTGCACCCTGGTCCCCCCACTTCCAGCCGAGACTCACCGTAATGGCCCGGAGACAGTCACGGTAGGAGGCTCTCTTGATGCAGGAGACTGGAGGGCCCCTCACTTTCTTCATGTTCCTCTGCAGTCGGAAGCACTTGGTCACCTCGTCTTGGGATATGGTGCACCATCGCACATTTTCCTTGGGGGTGGCCCGGCCCAGTCCTGGGAGAGAGGAGCCCGAGATAGGTCTCCAGGATGGTCTGGGAGGGACCACCTTGTCCCCCGGCAGCCTCCCAGCTCTGTGCTCCCAACCGCCCTCCGTCCTCTGCTCCCCACCACCGCTCCAGCCGTTCTCACGGAGGCCTCCACTAGACCCGAGGGACCCTGCCCTGGCCGGGGGTGGGGTGGGGTGGGGGGGTCTTAATAAAAGAAGGGTGGCAAAGCCTCTAGATTCTTTTCCTTCCTGTAACTTGGACATTCTTCCTGCTCCTAAAAAAGTGCTGCTGACCCAGCCCTCAGATCAGTTTAGGGAGTTCTTCCACCTGCTTTGCCCCATTTGAACCTGGGAGGTGGGCAGAGAGACGGGTCGCTGCTTGGCTCTTAGGGAGGCTAAGGGTGCAAATCCAGCCTTGAGTCTCTCTCAGTTGTGGGTCTAAGCACCTCCAAGAGGGTATCTCGGAGCGGGAGAAAACACAGCCGACTGTGGAGGCTGTGGGAGTAGGGACTCGGGGACACAACAGGCCTCCCTGCCCAGAAAGATGGGGCCCTGGTCAGCCTGCTTTGGTGCTAGAATCCGCAACTGGGCAGAAGTTGGATCAGGTTTGCTCACCTGGTTGCCTGGCAGATGGCATCTATGGAAAACCTACAGTGCAGGTCCAATCAAAATGGCAAAAGAAAGAAAGCTTTCTGCCCACGCTCAGGAGCAACGCAAAGGTGTCCAGCCTCCTTTGTCCTACCCAGCACAGTGTGAGGCCCGGGACATGCAGTGAGGCAAGAAAAGGAAACAAAATGAACGGCACCGTGAAGAAGTTTGAGTGAAACTTTGCAGCTGACACACATCTGGATGCAGAGAACCCTAATGCATCTGCAAAGCACTGTCAGAGCGGATGAGCAGGTGCTGCAGGGTCAGGGATACCAGACCAGGAGACAAAAATCAATCTCATCTTTGCATACAAGCACTGAAAAGCCTAGGCCTGAAGGCTGTCATTCTAATTCATAATAACAACAAGAGAGAACTAAATACATAATGGGTAAAAGATCTCGAGTCCACCAAAGAAGACAGATGGCTGTTAAGCACATGAAAAGCTGTTCAGCATCAGTAGTCAGTGAACAATGTGAATTTTAAAAGGTAGTCGAGTACATCACATAGCTGATCACAGCTGAAACAGACAGAAACATGTGTGGGCAAGGGTGTGGAAGAATGGAAACCTTCCTGCATGGCCCGGAGTGTAAACTGGTGCAGGCTCTTTGGAAAACAGCCTGGTGCTTCCCAAAATGTTACACATGGACCAACCCTATGGCCCAGCATCTGAGCTTCTAGAAATAAAAACATGTCGTCGTTCAGACTCCTGCATGAATATTCATAGCAGCATTATTCAGAATAGCAAAATATTGGAAATAGCCTAACTGTCCAACAACTGCACAAAGAAGGCATGGGGGAATGGACGGCTTGCGTAGGGACATCACCGAGAACGGAGGGGGCAGCAACGGGGGGTTGGTGTCAGAAATCAGCCAGAGAACAAGTGAGTCCAGAGGGAAGTCCAGGCCGCGAGCCACGGTGGGGCAAGCCAGGGTGGAAGCCAAGGACAGGGCTCCTTTCTTCTCCGTCCTTCCCGCCCCACAGACGGCCCAGGCCCCGGGAGGCCCCAGGCACATGACCCAGCCTGGTGGGAGCCCATGAGTGCCTCCCCTGGCTCCTCCAAGCCCCCCCCCCATTGCCCACGAGCCCTGGATCCAGCCGGCCTGACCCCTACCAGCCTGGACACCACTCCTGGAGACCAGAGCAGGAATCCCAGAGAAGCATGGGGTTTCCGCAGGGGTATAGGCCACCTCTCCGGTGTCCGAGGGGTCAGGAGAGCGGCCCGGGATCTGCTCGCACTCCCCAGGTTTGGGGGAAAGGACTCCCTGGCTCTCTAACCACCTCCCTGACCCCTTCTTCCTCCAGGAACTCCCACCCTGAGTGGAGCCCTAAAGCAGGAGGGAGGAACAGCGCTGGGTAAGGGTGGGGCGCCTGCTCTGCCCGGCCCCACCGGCCGGCTGTCTAAGCCCCTGTTCCCGCCCCGAACCCCCCCCCACACACACACACACTCATGGCTTCCACCATGACACATCCCTGCGGAGCACTGCAGCCCCAAGTTACCCCAGGACCCAAGAGACTCCTTCCTTCTGCCCAGCAGGTGGCGGCCCACCTCCACGTCCGCCCAGCCCCAGGGTTTCTAAATGAGGAAACCAAGGCTCAGACCAGCTTTGTCACACATCCTTGCAGGAACTAGGATCCTGTTGACTTCAACTACAATGCTGTGTGTCTTTAGCAAGTTGCTCACCCTCTCTGAACCTGTGTAACTAGGATAGGTGATGGAGGTCCTGGGGGGACACGGGCAGCAGAGGCCTCCCCGGAGGCCCTGGGGAAGCTGTGGAAGACCTAGATGTGGCCCACATGGCTTAGGGGAGTCCTGTTCTGCCTCTCATCCCTGCACCAGTCCGTGCCTGTCTGGATGCGAAGCACTCACCAAGATCCCCGAGGGACAGGGACAGCAGGGCGGCCAGGAGGAGTCTCATGGTGCTTCCTGTCGTGGTGACACAGCCAGTCAGGGCTCTGCCCGAGCTGCCCTGCGCCCTTTTATCCAGGAGGCCCCGCGGGCTGGCCCCGCCCTGTTGCCCCATCGGTGGTGCAGGCTGCTGCCTCCCTGCCCCAGTGCTCTCCCCTCTGTCCCTCCCCTCCGAGTCTGGTTCCTGCTGGGCTCAGTGCCTGGAGGTGGGGGACAGGCCAGGGGGTTCCGGGAACAGGGAGCTGGGCGCTCCTCAGCAGGCAGTGTGCACAGCGGTTCCACCTACAGGGCACAGGGGCAGCTTCGGGACAGAATGGCCACTTGGAGGGAACCTGGGGCTCCAAGGGAAGGGACCCTCCCAGTCCTGCTGAGACTCACAGTCGGGCTCCCCAAACAGGATGGGGCCTCAGAGGGGACCGTCCACCCCCGGCCCTGTCCCCTCCTCTGCCAAGGGGGAGATGCCTGCTCCTTCTTCCTCCCGCCCTCCCTTCCTCTCTTTCTTTTTTTCCTTTTTCTTTTAGTAGTGATGGGAGATAGACGAAAAGGTCAACCTCATTTTAACACACGTCCTATCAGGAGAGGCCCTTTTTCATTGCAAAGCTAGTTTCGGCTTCTAAGGACAGGTCTGTCAATTCCATCCCATGATTCGGGGGCCTCGGTAACAAAGATCTCCCGCACCGCTCACTGTGTGCCCGTAACTGACTGGAAGCCCACTACCTGTGGCCCTCCATGCACGCCCTGGACGCTCCAGGCCCTCGTGGGCACTGCAGCCCTGTCCCTGCAGGTGGGAGCTTGGCTGGGAGTCAGCAGGTGAGGCAGGGAGGCTCCACCCCTCGGGGAAGTCACCTAAGAGATGTGCTTGTCCTGAAAGACTGGTCCTGACTGTTTGCTTAGACCACTGGGTGGTCAGGTGTTTCCTGGAGCAGCAGTTGAGTAAAGCCCCAGGGAGCCAGTGCTGGCACGGGTAGGCACCCGCAGGCACTGTGCCCTGGAGAAGTGCCCAGTCTGGGAGGCTCCAGAGGAGCTGTGGGGGCCTCTCCATCCTGGGCATGGTCCTGCCAGGGCACAAGGGACTGGTCGGGATCCTGCAGCCTGGCACAAGAGAGGGGCCTGGGGCTTGGTGCTGGAATCTCCAATGGGTGGGGGGTGACAGGTCCAGGGTCCCTTGTTGTTTGGAAATAAGATATCGCAACATTAAAAGTTGCTCCCATCAATAATTGAAATAAGCCATTTCAAAAATGGTGAAGAAATACAAAATTGGCCAATGCTCAAGAGTCCTGAAGCATCTTGGTGCAGTCCCAGAGTTAGCAGCTAAGCCTGGCTTTTTGTGATTAGAAAAGAATGAAGAAACATGACTGCCCACGTCTCTACGGGAGGGCAAATTACAAGCAGGATGCCCTGAGGATCCCTGGGCCCGGGGTGTGTGACAGTGTCATGAGGACACAGAACCTGGGGCCACCAGCAGGGCTACCTGGAGGGAGGGTGGGACCCGGACAGAGGGGCCTTCCAGAGGGAAGCAGAGCCTAGTAAAAGGGTGCAGTATAGAGAGCCGCACAACAGTGAGCGCTGGTATGTAACAGGCAGGCAGGGGGCCCTTTGCAGAATTGCAAGTCTGAGCCCCCTCAGCCTCAGCAGGGTAGTAGCTGCCCACCAAGCTAGGCTCCCACAGACTAAGCCCGGTCCATGCCCCTAGAAGTCTTCTAGCTTCGAATCCCAAGGGGAGAGCTGGGAAGGGGTCTGGGCAGAACCTGCTCCAGATGGGACAAAGAAAAAGACCTCCCAGAGGCCCCACCCAGCCTGGCTGACAGGGTCCCAGGCCTGCTTTCTTGTTCCTCCACTGGCAGGAGGTTGCTATCTTGGAAGAGAGCCACTTGTTAAACTTTTAGGGATTCTGTAGAAAGTTAACCAGTGGTGTACTCTGAAATGAGTGGGTGGCTACGGTTTCACTAAAAGTCACCGAGTGCCACCACTCGGCACTGTGCCCTGGAGAGCCACTGTGCCCCACGGCTGGGCCTGCGTTGTCACTGTGGGTGGCACGTGGTGCCCAGGTGGGGTGGGCGAGCACTTGTATGCGCGGTTCTGCCATCCCTAGCACTAAGACAAGACATTCTCAGCATAGGGACAGCACTTTTAACTCCAAACAGCTGTCTGTGATCACTGCTGTGGAGTGACAGTCATCATTCTGGTTCTCCTAGGTGAACCGAGTGCCCTGTGGTCACAGAGACAGACAGAACCATGCATCCCAAGTCTCCCAGGGGCCTCCAGCCAGGGCTCTTCCCTCCCACGGGGCCAAGCCCTGAGAGCTGGATGTGAACTTGGCCCCCACGGATCTCAGCAGGAAAGAGACCAGCAAGGATGGGCCCTCTGTAAGCCAGGCACGCTCCAGTGCTTCCACACCCCAGGACACAGGCCTGAGGTGTCCAGATGAGGGACAGGGAAAGCACTGCACCCTCAGGCACTCAGCTGGCAAGTGGCGGGCCTTGGAACCCACCCTGTGATCCCTTGGGCTTTTGGTGCCCTGGTATTGATCATTCCTTTGCTGATGATTGGAAGAGAAGGGCAGAGGACAGGCGAGGAGGAGGAAGAGGTGGATGGAGACCTCCCTGCTTCTCTACCACCGAGTCCGCAGAGATCCCGCCAGAGACACTGATTTCCAGAGGATGCCCATGACCTGCGTTGGCCCCTCCAGGGGAGCTGAAGGCCCTGGGCATTTCCTGTGGGTGCAGGGGTGGGGGCCCCACCAGGAGGAAGCACAGCCGTAGAGCAACAGGTGGAAAACAGTGGCTTTGTGAACCAATGTGTCTGGTTGCCAAATGTTGCCCAATTCACAAAGCTCCGAGAGACAAAGGGCACCTGTTTCCCTGCCCACCCCTCTGGCTGGCCAGGACCCTCTCAGGGCAGCGACAGACCCTCCGGGGGCAGTTCTTCCCCAGACCTGCTGGGCTCCGCCCAGGTCTCCCGCCAGGGTGGAGACTCTGGGGTTTCCTGCTCCTCCCCCAGGGCTGAGATTTCCATGCTCCTGGCCAGGGTGGCACCCAAGTCCCCGCAGAAATCTGAGCTCTGTGGCCCCACAGTTATCTCATCTGTGGAGACACGGCCAGGCCCAGGGGACAGGTTCTGAGAAGGAAGGTGTCAGCCAGGGCAGCCCAGAGGGCACTGGGGGCGGGCCCGGCACCAGCCACCGCCACTTCTTCCCAGAAGGATCCGAGGCCCTGGGAAAGCCCCAGACAGAAAGCAGCGGGCCGGGGCTGCCCCTCCAAAGGGGCTGCACTCTGGCCTGGGAGCGAGCTGCCCATCACACCTGCTTTCTGCTTCCTGCAAGGTCAAAGACAAAGTCAGGTGGAGCCTTCACTGAGAATGGAAGCAAAGAAGGCAAATTCCTCCACTTCCTGGGCCCCTCTGCCCAGTCCTCGGGCTCCCGGCTGCCCCCATTGACTTCCTCTCCCTCTCTTCATCGCCTCGCTGGACCCGAGCAGGGGAAGGTCTGCAGACCTGGCGAGAAGCAGAGACGGCGTTGGATGCCTGGCTGTGAGCCCACTCCACCCTACTCAGCGCCAGAGACCTGAGCAATCTCTCCACTTGTCTAAGCCTCAGTTTCTCCATGTGCAGAAGTGGCAGCCACGTCCTGGGGGAGTGGAGCCGGAAGCCGGTGTTGGATGCTCACACAGCTCTCAGTGTGCATGCCGCTGTCCACATTCACGAGCCCTGTCATAGGCCAAAACAGGGCTCCCACTCTTCCTCGAGGCGTCAGAGTCTCACCGTTCCTGGGCTTCGCCTCCCCTTCTGACTCTGTCTCGATCTCTGCTCCTCCTCTCTCTCTCTCCTTGTCCCTCTCCCAGCTTCCTTCTCCCTGCCTAGCTCCCTGTCTCGCCTCTATCCTTTGCAATACTGGAGACTGAAACCAGCACCTTCACACCAAGCTACATCCCCAACCCATTTTTTTATTTCATAGTTTGAGACAGGGTCTCACTAAGGCACTGAGTTGCCTAGATGGGTCTCAAATTTGCAATCCTCCTGCCTCAGCCTCCTAGAGTGCTGGCATTATAGGTGTGCACCGCCACACCTGGCTGTCTCATTCCTCTTAAACACACCTGCCTATAGGTATGGAGTATGCCTTCCACGGAGGACTGAGCCTCCTCTGCTACAGTACTGTACCTGCTGGCCCTGTCCCCTTTCCCACCCGACTCTGAACCTCAGAAGGAAGGGCTATGCCTGACCCGTCCCTGCACCCGAGGGCCCACATCAAGGGCCTCACTGAGGGCTGACCAGCAGAGTGTGAAAGACAAGGGTTGAGAAGCTGAGGATCCTCTCAAATCTTTTGGTTACAATTAACAGCACTCTCCTCCTCCTCTTCTTCCCAGAAGTAGAGAGAAACCAGCATGTGGGAGTAGCAGAAGCCCCGGCCCCAGGGGCGGGCAAGCTGGACCTGCCTCAGTTTCCCTTCTGTGCCTGGCGAAGACCTCCCAGCCAGCGGGGCCTTCTTGGGGAGGAGCAGGAGCAGCAGAGCTGAGCAGGACCCCAGACCTCATCAGCTGGAACAAAAAACGCCCCCTCTTCTCTCTCAATCTACTGAGCAAAGCTTAATGCTGCACAAAGCCCCCCACGCACCCTCCCAGTATTCACTTCCAGGAGAGTCAGGCTTGGAAGGTACTGCGAGTTTAGCCATCTGGTTGACCCTCGTGGACTCTACTTCCCAGAACAAACACGCTGACCTCCCGAGCAGGTGCTGTCAGGAGGACTTGGGCTCTGGAAAGCAGAGGATTGGGAGGCTCAGGAGAGCAATGGCTCTGATCCAACAACATTGCCAAATGTTACCCCATTTGTAAAGGAAACTCAGCAATCAGAGAGCTTCTCTGCTTGCCGTTCCTCTTGCCCTTCTCCACATCCTCCTCTGCCTTTCTAGACCCTCGTCCCCTGCCTGGGCCTCTTCCTTGCTCCCCTCGGGCAGGGTGGGGGCAGACTCAGTCTCTCCAGGTGGTTCCTGGCAAGTGCACCCTGGTCTCTCGGTCATGCCTTGAGCTGGGCCCCCCCCTCGATCCCCCCTTCCCCCTAGTCTGGAGCC